TATAAGGTAACTCCAGAGGCGCTTATTTACATTACGGATCTCGGTCAGAGTGTGGGCTTGTGTTTATGGTGTGACACGATACCCATTGGACTAAGTGGATTTCCCTCCCTTGATTCAAAGGGGTATTTATGTGCATGGCACACTGTTTGAATATGAAAAAAATCCCATGATGTAATCTGGCAGGGAAAGTGTTATTTCTGAATGCCTGCGTCACCTTTGTTTGGGTGCCGAAGCGTACACAATCTGAATCCTAAGAAGGCACCCTTTTTGTTTCCTTCAAATGATTTCACCAGCCTGTCACTATCCTCCCCCTGAGCAAATAACACTTGGAATAAAAGCAGAGAGGGGAGAAAGAAAAATAACCAACAAAATTAAAAATAAAAAAGGAATCAGTACATTAAAAATAACCTCCCCTCGCTCAGAGCCTTTTGCTGCGGATTATTGTTGCACATTTATTTTAGTTACATAATCATTCTTTGCAACACAAGGTCTTAAATAATTAATTACAGCGTGGGAGGATTTGTGAAAAGCAATGGTGAATTTGAGGTCTGATTGCAGAGTGAACCATAATATCCTTGCTGTAAGCCCTGGTGTGTGTGTGTGTGTGTGTGTGCGCGCGTGTGTGCATAAGTGTAAATTTCCCAAAAAAGAACTGGATATAACAGAAGTAGAGATCAGAAGAGATAGACACAATTGCTTTTGGTTCCTTGTTTTTCCTTTTGACGAGAAAAGAGAGATGTCGGATAAAGAAAACAAGTCAGAAAAGAATGGAGACACACAACAACAACAAACTTTCTGTCACATTTTTTAAAAACTTTACGATACCCCCTCGTAACTTAACTGAATGGCCTTGTGAAAATGACACAATCGTATCAGACATCTTGAGAAAATTTTACCATGCGTTTGAGAGGTGGTCGCTGGTGTTAAAGTAGCCATAGAGTAAGAAAATGTCAAAGGGAAATTAGAGGCACGGCAGAGTTAAAATTCATTGACAAGTTCAGTGGTTTCTGATCACATTGCATGTGTTAATTGGCTTAGCTAGAGCCAAGATAATTGTGTTATCCACAACTGTGTAACAGATAGCCAGTGTTAATAAATGAATTATCATTATTATGCATCATTATTATGCATGATCCTATAAATAACTGGTCAGAAGTAGTATGAAGAGAGATCTTGTAACACCTCTGAGACTAACTGAAAGAAAGAAGTTGACAGCATGAGCTTTCCTAGACTTAAGTCCACTTCTTCAGATGCATTTGGTGGAGTGGAAAGCCAGGGACAAACCTATATATGCCATTGATGTGTGAGAATGTCAATTCAAAATGGTCTATTTAATTTGTTGTTGTTGTGTCCCTTCAAGTTGTTCTCTGTCCTCAAACTTAAAATCTAAGAGGTTATTCAGATGGTGAAAATAATCTTGATAGAATGTGGATTGCGTCTTTCTTGTTAACATGCATTTGGAATGCATCTGATTAAGGGTGTTTTTGGGGGGGAGGGAGCTGCCAAAAAAACTCACTTAACCTGGGAGAATTGATCTGGGGTTTGCCTGAGTTTTCCTGAAAGATTCTCATTGTGAGCTGTGTGAATAACCAAATGCAAATAGAGCCAGGTTCACAAGTTCAACCTAGAAATAGTAAAAGAATGCTCATACCTGGGATCAAACATTGATAGAAATGGGGACTGCAGTCAGGAAATCAGAAGAAGATTAAGAATGGGGAGGGTGGCTATGAAAGAACTAGAAAAGATCCTAAAATGCAAAGATATACAACTCAGGACAAAAGTTAAAACCATACAAGCCATTGTATTCCATATTGCTATGTATGGATGTGAGAGCTGGACAGTCAAGGAAGAAGATAGGAGGAAAATCAACGCATTTGAGATAATGTGGTGCTGGAGAAGAGTGCTGAGGATCCCATGGACAGCCAAAAGGACCAACAAATGGGTCCTGGGACGTTATCCCACGGGGCCAAAAGCAGCAAGAATCCACCAAGAATCCGGCGCTATAGCGCTAAATGTTTCTGACTGATCCCACGACGTCGCTAAGAATCCACCAAGAATCCAGCGCTATAGCGCTAAATCTTTCCAGCTGATCCCACGACGTCGCAAAGAAACCGCTAAGAATCCGGCGCTATAGCACTAAATTTTTTCGACTGATCCCACGACGCCGCTAAGAATCCGCTAAGAATCCACTCGGAATGCAGCAACATTCACGTTCTTTTGAATGCCTGGTCTCACCAGGCATTGCAATTGCGCAAGCTGATTCTTAGCGCTATGAAAGCGCTAGCGCCGTGGGCTGGCCATTTCCATCTCTGGGGGTTGCTATCGCTATAATAGTGGAATCATGCTTATGTTGCTTTCTTGCCACTTTCTTGCCACTTTGAGAGCAGCGTGGGATAAGGTCCCTAGAACAGATCAAGCCAGAGATATCTCTAGAAGCCAAGATGACAAGACTTAGACTGTCGTACTTTGGACACAGCATGAATAGTTGGAAAGACAATAATGTTAGGAAAGGTGGAGGGAAGTAGGAAGAGAGGAAGGCCACATGTCAGATGGATAGACTTTATTAAAGAGACCATGAATATGAGTTTGCAGGAATTAAGCAGAGCAATGGAGGACAGAGGGTCTTCTTGGCGAGGTCTCATCCATAGGGTTGCCATGAATTGAGATTGACTCAAGGGCAGTTAACAACAAACAACAAAACAACTCTGCATGCCTTGAATGTGCTTTGAATACTTCCACATCATCAGCTCCTTCTTTATTCAAATGCTGACATGTGTGAGTGACAGAAGTCACAGAGATCTGCAGAGATGCAGTTCCAATAAAAAAAGTTTGAACAACAAAACTGGAATGTGCTAGCAGATTATTTGGACAGTCACACTAAAAACAACAACACCTGAATAGGGCCTGCATAAGACAGGACAGAGAGCTAGTGTCGCGTAGTGGTTTGAATGTCAGACTAAGACTCTGGGGACCAGGGTTCAATTCCCAGCTTGGCCATGTAAACCCATTGGGTGACTTTAGGCAAGTCACTCTCTCTCAGCCTCAGGGAAAGGCAATGGCAAAACTCCTCTCAACAAATCCTGCCTAGAAAAAAATGAAAAAAGAAGAAAGATGAACCGGTAGTAGATAATGGGATAAAGATGAATGTGAAGAAAAGAAATAGGAACAGAAAAGTAAAAGAAAGGATTGAAAATAAGAGTAGTCGAAAAGAAGAAATTAAGGGAAAGCTATGAGAGAAAATGTAAAAAATGTATGAATAACTGTATTAAACTGTTCCCATTCATTGAAGGATGAGGAAGATGAGAAGAAACAAAAAAAACAAAAAATGGAAGAAATAGAAGAATAGAAGAGAAGAATATTGGGAGAATATTGGAAAATGTAAAAGGGATTAAAATTGTTAATAATAATAATAATAATAATA